GGTCATTTAGTAATTGATGAAAAGTAAGATTTTTTTTACGGAACACTGGAATATTTTTGCTTAAAAACCATATGGTGTTTGGATTGCTATGCAATAATTAAGGCTCATGGAAATTGGTGTGCTCGAAGCAGTTTAAAAAAATAAAGAATACATGAGCATTTTACCAATTTTTTAGTTTTGTTACAATCTATCTCTTTGCTGCAAGTGACTGTAAACATTCTTATTGACAGCCCTGTAGGTATACTGTGCACACAAAAGGTTTCAGGCCGTACAACTAAATATCTTGAAGAAAAAAAAAAAGAAGAAAAAACTCAATTTGTACAAAGTTGCGTTTTGCCGTTTAAAGAGTCGTCAATTCTGCCTTGAGGTGGCCCAAAAAAAAAAAAACTATTAGCGAGTTCGTTTCACACGCACTGGCACCGTTAGAGTTCTCTCCCAGAATGCATCGCACTCGCAGAGTGTTACACGGAGAACTGGGCTCAAACGAACACGCCCAATGCACCGAGTGCAGAAGACTGATGCCGCCGCCCTCTATGTTGTAGAAAAGGTACCAACCTCAAACCGAAACTAGCGCCTTTCTGTTCGGAGTGATGGGTGAGAATGCGAGATTGCAGTGGCTACCAACGTCTATCTACAAACGTTGGTCGCTGCTGCAACCTGTAGTTTATATTTGCGATGACTTCAAGCAACTCGGCTGTCGTAGAGATGGTTACAGACGGGGTAAATTTCCGCAACCAGCGGTCTACAAAACAGCTGGTGGCGATCCCTTTATAATCGCTTACACTGAAGAAAACTGATGATGCTGTCCGAGCAGAAGCTTGATCCGTTTGAGCATGGTATTATGCGTGAACCACTGAAAGGATACGGCTTAAAATTAGTGTGCTGGAATAACCAGCAAAACTTTTCGTGGGACTTTCGATTTCGATCGTCATTGCAGGTGGATCAGATATTAGCCTTGGTGAGGGCGTCGAGAACGAGAGCTTTCTCGAACAAAGTACGACGGGGCAAGTTAGCTGACGTAGGTAAATGTTAAACATGATGATGTTGCCCAAGCCTCGGGTAAAGTCCCTATGGTTAGCTTTCTCTGACGCTTATTGGGCAGTCGCAGGCTTCTGCTGGGGAGTTTTATCGACATATGTTAAATGTTTCCCCCGCACACGGATGGTGATAAACATCGCGGGGGGCCGCTGATGCGTTTTGTTCTGAGCATTTTTTTTTACACACTGGTATATTTCAGCGGCTATACGGCAACAGAGCGACTTAAAACCTGCAAATAAAGCACGGTTTGTTAATTGCTTCCTCCTTGAAATAGCAGACGCTCACAATTCAAGGTCGCGTTTGATTCCGTTGCCCGCGGGACGCGATTTCTATCAGAAAATCTACTTTTTTTTCCTTTCGGTTCCGCGACACATCGTAGCAGACGAACCATCATCATCTGCTCCCGCTCCTCGCCGGAGCGAGGCATGACGGGATTGCATTTTGGCGCACTCCCGATTTCCTTGGTGCAGCGAGTGCATGCACGCGTGGGGTGCCAGCGCTGAAACGAACTCGGAGAGTGCAACCACTCGTGGAGTGCCGGCTGAAACGAACTTGAACGAACCCGCTCTACGCTGCGAGTTGGCACGCGTGGGCACGAGTGCCGTGAAATGAACTCGCTCTATGAAACATGGTAACTTTTACAGAAGGGTTTAATGCCTTTAGTTGTTGAAACTTTAATAATTTTGTTCTAAAGAGGGGAAAAAAAAACATTTTGAAGCTCAGCTCTCGCGCCGCACTTGGCATCGTTTCTTTCGCCTCTTCTCTGCACAGCATGCCACCGTCGAGCCCATATTCCTCGGGGCCCCAAAGCGGAACACGTATGCGGGAAGGGAGGGGGGGGGGGGGGGGGGGGGGGGGGGCGGGCGGAACATTACATTGCCTCGTCGTTTGAGATTGCTCGTTCACTAGGCTTTTGTGTTGCTGTTTACATCTGTCCTGACGTTGACAAGAGAAAGCTTGATTGCGATCTGTACGTAAGAAAAAACAAGCTGATGGTCTGACCCGGCAGCGCTAAGCATTTGCTGATATCAAGACAGTGTGGTCACTTTAGTTTAAATCGGCTTTGAAACTGCAAATTCTTTCGGCGCTCAATAGTTTCGCTCTTAACCGCAGCATGCATGACAGCTAGATTTCGCAGCGATAAGTCCACGTCGCCTGATGCCGCCCGTCGTTTAGGCATCGCGTTTCGAGCCGCCCTTGGGTACAAAGGGCACAACGGGCCTGCTATGGCTACACGCTGGCGGCACCTCCAATTATTACACGATACCCGTCGTTTCTTCCCTTGCAGCTGAAAAGACGGACAAGAGGAAGCGGCTGCAAACTCCTTTCTTTTTTTGGACCTAATCGTGTCGGCTATCGTCGCGGTTGGCGTTCTGTGCGACAAAGAGGCGTTAAGAAGCGACGCCAGGTTGTGGTGCGAGAGTTCAACTTTTACCTGTGGGGCCGTATTCTACGTTAAACGCCCAATATGCGCGAGGGGCCAGCTCGATAGCCTCCGGGATATTCAGAGCTGGAAGCGTGAGGCTCTCATACGTCATTCATGCATCGTCAGAAGTTGTGGGATGCTGCCCGCTGTAAGTCACGGCCGGGTAGACTGACGTCTTTGTGGGATCCTGAAAGATAAAGATATCTAGTTGAGAGAGCGCTAAACATTGTTAATAAAAAAATGGAGTTATATTACTAAACATAGCGTTTAAGTCACGGTCTAAATTAATGCCAGAAATGCCATGAGACCTAAAAAGATGGTTTGTATGGGCCCGGGTGACAGAAGATTCAGTCGCCATTTTGGAAACTTGGCCTTTTACTACAGCTTTCATTACGTCCCCATGCAGAATGAACGTAAACTAAATGTTTCACGCGTCAAAATGTATACATGGAAAGAGCTATATGTGAGCTGTCCTTCATTAGAATCTGTGCACGACTTTGGATTAAAGTTTCTAGGAATATTGGACAGATAAAATTTCCCTCTAACTCTTGAAATCGTAAGAGTCCTGCAAAATAGAAACAAAGGTACGAAGCACAAGCAAGTTTTCAAAATTGTAAGCAAACGACATGCATGTACAGCGAATTATTGTCGATATTGAACTCACGGAAAATTTAAATAAAAATGCATGTAAAAAGTACTTTTTATAACGAACAGCATATTGGCTAAATCAAACACCCCCTTCCCCCCGGGCAAGGCTTCTAAAAGCCGCAAACAATCGTCTTTTAGCCTGCCCCTTCCTCCAAAAAAGTAGGAAAGAAAAAAATTCCGAGAAGCTCGAGTTGCGAACAAAACTGAGCGAAGAGAAGCGATTCAGAAGGGGAGAAAGCTGAAAATTGCACTCTGCACGCACGCACACACAAAAATCTTTTTACCCCAAAGGGTTTGCCCTCAAAGAGAAGCGATTCAGAAGGGAAAATAAGCTAAACAAAATACTCTGCAGGCATGCAAAAGAAAAAGAATCTTTACAGTGCATTGTTATTAGGCGAAAGTGAAGAAATGAGAAAGGAAGAGAAGTACTCGGCTTACAACGAACGCATCGTCGAAGTTCGTTGTAAATGGTTTTTGCTATATCGAACTACTTGCTATATGGGATTGATCGTATACCGTTTCCTGCTGCTCGTTATAAACGGGTTTATATATACAAATGGATTTTCAGTGGCGGACAGTGGCGGACGCCGTGGTGGCGGCTCGTGTTTCCGGCGTGCGACTGATGTAAACAAGACGGCCGACGTAATATTTGCCGGTCGGAACTTCAAGAACTGCGAAGCTAGGTAGAGTAAAAAGTGTCTGAACGACCGTAAAGGTATTTGGTGTGTCTCCGTCATCTTGAACTTGAGCTATCGTTCACGTTGTGTGCCGTCAAACCAAATCATTTCGTCTGCTTGCGTCTGCTTACGGCAGCTAGTCTGCCCGCAGATCGCAAAAATTTACTATAGTGCGCGGTTTGCAGCATTTTCGATCGCTTACCATTGTGAGCAGTCCTCGAAATGAACTGGTTTAGCCTCTCAAAGGAAGCAGACTAACAGGACGGCAAATCGCCTCCCGCTCTCCTAAGCCTAACGTTCGGCTGGGTCGGCGAAGGCGGTCGCCGAACCGACCGCCATCCCTTTTTTACCCGAGTCGTGAACGGTGCTGGCTGCGTTGCGGTGACGACTCCAGCGGCCGAAATGGGAGAAACGAACGAGAAGAGCCTCCCGACTCCTCGAACGACTCACGCGCGCACGCGCAGTGGCGTCGCGGATGCGTTCGAGGGCGAACCGTTCGTGTGGAAAAGAACTGCTAAAACTCCCTATTGGTGCTGGGGCCGCGTGTTGCTCACCTCTCGTTCGGAGTGTTCTGGGTGTCCCGTCGCCGGGGTCTCTTGGGAGAGAGGACTTGGAAGTGCTGGTTATCCACGTGACTCTAATTCGACGGGCAGGTTGTACCGGAGAGGCTTAGGATGCGGCGAATCGGGCTTGCGCGGATGTCCATCGATGCACTTCTTCAGAGGGTGCGCTCTTGCCTTGGCTCTCACGTTTCACCGCGCTCATCGATATTACATTCCTTTTCTTTGTCCTCGGCGCGCCTACCAAAAACCCGTCCTCACCTTTCGACTCGCTTCCCTCTGAGAGACCGGTCTGACTGTTTTTCCACGTCCGGCTTCGCTTACCTCTCTCTCTCCCCGTCTTTGACCGGTTTCCAGTTTCCCCAGGCCCCTCTTCCTCATTTCCTGTCATTGCCCTGCCCGCTCCCGTGTGTCACCCCCGACTGCGCGCGTCCGGACTTGCTCGCGCCGCGTTAGCGTTTCCACCCACTACCTCGGACGACGTCACAATAGGCATTTACCAAAAGTGAGCGCCTCTGGTGCCAAACGTACGAACATCCCTAAATCCGCCATTAGAGCGGCGTCCAAGTTTTTGCAGCCCGGCGTGGTGCTTCCTCATTGTGATGCCGACGCACTGCTGCGTCCCGCAATGTAGGCAATGGGGACCAACTGATGAAAATCAAAACAACGTGAGTCATTCTTGTGACGATGTATGTAAAAAATGCCGAGGTTACTACGAATCGCGACAGGCAGACCCGCGGGGAACAGGCAACCCTCATCGGCGTGCTCGGGGTGCAGTTTCTCAGTAGCACCCTAATAGCCCATTAAATCAAACTAAATTTCTCTATGTTGCACGATTAAGTAATATGGTGCTGACGTGCGCGCCCGGCCTGTCGTGAAGTCTAATTCAAAGGCCAGTTGCACATGCGTCGCTCGATCTAATATGCGTCAACAAATTTCAAAGTGATCGGACGCGTTTTCGCCGCTTTGTAGTCGGAATCATTCGCGATGAATAACTAGATAGTAGTGAAATGATGACTTCCACGCGTAAACTACGTCTGCACAAGCGCTTGCGCGAGAAATGTACGGCACAGGGAGTGCAAGCGTCCGTCCTTAAGACACCACAGCGCACAACTTGCTAGAACATCTTTGCGCTTATGGTATCATTGCCTCGGAAGGCTGGAATTTTTATAGTTTCCTCAACCACCACCGTTTTACACTGTGTCATAAAGTTGCACTGAAGTAATGTGTGTCTTCATATAGAGCAGGAAATGATTGCACAGTGAGCCCTTCACACAAACACTGTAGAGTAAAACATACGCATGGGCTGAATAGGAAATTACTTTATTAGAGCGGTTTCCACAGCTTCCTTTTTGTGGCAAAATGAATAGGACAGGGATACCGCTAAGTGATTTGTTAAAGCCTATAGTGTCAGATATATCTATAGCTTGTTAGACTCATAAGTTTGGAGAAGTCTAGCAGAGAAATGTTTTGTAGGGTGGCACCTGCAGCATTGTAGTTGCATATCACTTCATTTTCTGCTATAATTCCACTTCCAGGTTTCCTACTTTCGTTTCCCAAAAGACAAGGAAGAGTTCAAGAACTCTTCCTTGTCTCAGGGGTTCCTTGTCAGAGTTGAAGAGGTGGATTATCGCAATCAGAAGATGCGAGGGGAAAAACTTCAAAGTAATACAGTCAACAAAGGTGTGTTCACTACACTTCAAGGAAGACGACTTCCTGCCTGGATATGTGAATGGAAGGAAATTTCTAAAGGAATGGATTGTCCCCAGCAGATTTAAGTTCTCAGCCTGGAAAGTGCCGAGAAGAAAAGTTCACAGGCATAGTCCTGTACCCATGGCCAACACCGTCGACACGCCAGCCGTGACCCCAGACGATGAAGCCGACGGCGCAGCAGCTTCCGAAAACCAGCCCCCACCACTCCCCGAAGTATTTGCCCTGGTTGTAGAACTTCAAGCAAAAGTCCCTGAGCAAGCTGCACAAGTAAGTCAGCCGACGTGCAATCTTCAGAGGGCTCGAGAACAGCTAACAAACGCCAAAAATGAAGTTTTGAAATTGACGAGGATCATGAAACTTCTGGAAGACTGCAACCAGAAACTACAACAGAAATTAAGCTGGAGGCTCTCAATAAACTGCTTCAAGGACAGACCCGATGACGTGCAGACCTACACAGGACTGCCAAACTATGACGCATATCTTTCCCTGCTACAACATCTAAATCCTGGCAGCACTGGAGAGAACATCAAGATGTGGTCGACTTTCTACTCGCAAGGCAGCAAACAAGGGAGACCACGAAGCTTGCCTCCTCACGACGAGCTGTTCCTAGTACTGGTTCGCCTTCGGCTCGGCCTTTTCGAGAAGGACTTGGCTTTCCCTTTTGGGATTTCTACCACCACAGTCTCACGGCTGTGCATAACATGGATCAGCTACCTTTATCAGCACCTGGGACATTTTTCCTTGTGGCTCACACGGCAGGAGGTGGACGAGGCCATGCCACCTGGTTTCAGAAAAAAATACCCCACAAGGGTGATCCTTGATGCGACAGAGATAAAGTGTCAAGTTCCTAGCTCCCTCACACTTCAGTCGGCAAGCTTTTTGTCATACAAGTCGACAAACACCTTCAATGGACTAATAGGAATATTCCCAGATGGAACCGTGACATGTGCGTCGCAGCTCTTTCTGGGGTCTATGTCGGACAAGGAGTGCGTACGGCAGAGTGGATTCTTAAAACTCCCCTTTGACGAGAAGGACTCTGTCATGGCCGATAAGGGGTTTCTAATTTCGGACCTCCTGGAGGAGATCAATGTCAAGCTCAACATCCCTCCATTCCTTGGGCAAGGCACATTCACAGAAGCCCAAGCCAAAGAAACGGAGAACATCGCGTCACTGCGCATTCATGTGAAGCGGCGAATTCAGCGGGTCAAGAGCTTCCATATTTTTGAGCGGTTTATCCCTCTGTCACTTGGGCCAGTAGTGAATGAGATGTGGGCTATCTGCACAGTTTTGTCCAATTTCCAGAACCCCTTGCTACGGCAGCACGATGCCGGCAATGGAGACTAGCTTTCTTTATGTTGATTTTGCTCTGTGCAAGTTGTGCCTATGTGTTTGAAGACATAAAGCCTTTCTTCAACTTTGTACCGCCATGTTTTACATATGGCCTGTGCCACCCCTGGTACACAGCAAAATGGAGCAAGTGAGAGTATAAATGTGGAGCTTTTCACGATTGACTCATTAAGCCAATCACCCTCTAAATGTTGCAGCCCGGGCTAGTGCCCTGTGTAGATGCATTTAACCACACTTGCTGTTTATATCATATTTTAAATCTGTGAAACAGAAAGAAAACTGGTGATCACTTGTGCTCTGGGGCTAACGCTAGCCATACTTCGGTTAGCCTCAGCGGCACATCCGCTCACGCTTTCAACCATTCGCGACATACCTCGGAACACCCATATAGTGTTATGGCAAAACAAACAAAACGAATGACCGTATGTGGCACTGCTGTTAACTACTAGAGGAAAAAGCAGATGTAGTTGGTGGCCTACTATGTGCTACCTCTTTTCCCTAAAAAAAGAAGCAAAATACTGTGAGTAACCAGCCCCCAGTCTTGTCACACCTCTTCTCGAGGTGTCACAAGCACCATAAAAAGCCTGACAGAAAGTGTCGCAATTGCCACTATGACAATTTTATTAGGCTCATCGAGAAATGGCACTCGCTATCAAAAGCTGCTGCTACTCCTTTTTCGAAAAATGGCACTTTGCGAATGGTGTTGATGCTCCCCTGCAACACGAATGCCCTCAATTCATAATCGGGTACTTCTTTTCACTACTTCTCAAGGAAATTGCTATTTTATTATTGCAGAATGCACTATAGTGAAACCGGAATGGTCGCGACACTCAAACGGAGGTATCCGCACACCAGAAGAACCTTGGCGATAAGTGCGGTAGCTAAAGGTATGAACTCGCGCTGTGGGTTGCCAAAGAGCGAGCATTTTACAAGTGCATACACAAGGCAGATAGAAACATGCTCGATATGTTATCACCCTACGCCAGGGTGCCTTTACGCGTGTTTTGTCACTCTTTGTAGTTACCTGACGCTGACAGCACGCACTTGAAAGAAAAAAAATACAAAGAAATTGCGATGAACAAAATGCTGCCATTGTAGCACCAAAGTGTGAAGCTCGAGGAGGGAGATTTACGAGCACGTGTTCACGGAAAAGATAAACAGCAAATGCATTCTTACGCAAAATGGGCAAGTGACACCACCGAAGACATATGCCGGCACGTGAGAGCACTCTGCCCTAGACTAGCACGGAAACACTATATATTGAAACAATTGGAAACTTTCCACAGAACAGTGCAATGTCAGTCATGGTTCCAATGAAGTCAGGAAGAGAACTCGTTCTACACGAAAGCCAAGTGGTAGAGCTGAAAAAATGAACACGTTCGTTGAGCAAGAGGTATAAAAGAGTTTTACTCGGTGGCATAATAGGATAATCTATTACGAAGTTCACTTGATTACTGTCTGCTGTAGTAGAATTAATAAACATGAGTATGGTTCTGTTTGCACTCATACATATTTACTATTCGTGACCCTTTGTAGGGATTTAAATACTAAAGCACACATATCTAAGTGCAGAAAAATGTTTCATAAAAAGATTGTGAAAAAAATAAAATGCTAATACCTCAGAGAAATCTGTAGTCAACATACCTAAACATTTCTGACTGGATCTATCTTGTGTTTAAGAAATAAAGAAAGTAATGCGTGTTAATTACCGTGACAAGATGGCGAGGTGGCTTTCAGGTGAAGCACTGGCTTTACATGGTTATGCACAGCTTTTGCACAGGTGTGGAAGCAAGACAGAAAAGTAGAAGTCAAGCGCTGCCTTGCATTTCGACCACTTTCTGTCAGAAAAGTAAATTCTCTCCACACTCAAAAACGGATGGGAATAGACGACAAAGTCTCCTCACAGCAGCCCAGAGAGAGCCATTTGTCCAAGGATTTGGTAATAATTCTTGTGTGTCCTGTTCAACAGGTATACGTCTGCTGCGTCCTTTTCCATGTAGAGTCGACTGCAGTGTCGAGGCCTCCATCCTTCAAGGTATATGGGCACTTCACCTCAACGACTCCATGAGGAGTCGTTTCATCGTGCAGGACGCCCCGCAATCCTATAACTGGGTGAATACTCAGGCATCAGTCCACCCCGTTGTTATTTACTTTCGCAAACAAGAAGCCACCACCCATGAGATTTCTATAAAATCATTCAGTTTTATTTCTGACTGCCTAGAACACGACACGGTGGCTGTTTCTGTATTTCAGAGTGAAGTAATTAAGATATTGAAGCGAGACCTTCCGCAAATTAGAAAAATTCACTACTTTTCAGATGGTGCGTCCTCTCAGTACAAGAATAAAAAAAAACTTTGCAAACCTCTGTCAGCACGAAAATGATTTCGACATTTCCGCTGAATGGAATTTTTTCGCAACGTCCCACGGGAAGAGTGCTTGTGACGGAGTCGGGGGTACAGTGAAGCGTCTGGCAGCAAGGGCCAGTCTTCGAAGTCCCTCCGAGAACTAAATCATGACCCCCCAGCAGCTGTTTACCTGGGCCAAAAATAACATCGGGGCATAACAATACTTTGGGTGCCGAAAGAAATGGTTGAAGAAAAACGAGCTCAACTCACTCCAAGATTTAGCTCAGCGGTCCTAGTCAAAGGGACAAGAAGTTACCATCACTTTAAGCCTGCGTCACCATCTACGCTACGTGCTGGACTTACGTCGTATTCAGCAACGCTAGAATTTGTCATTTCAAAGCCGATTTGAACACAAACGACGCGTGAGCCTTCAACGGCGCGCATTCGTCAACACCACATCACCTCGTCGTTCGAGATTGCCCGTTCACGGGTCTTTTGTGCTGCTGTTTACATCTGTCCTGACGTTAACAAGAGAGAGTGATCGGGTTCTGTATGTAGGAAACAGCTAGCTTACTAATGGATGCTCTGAACCGGCAGCGCTAAGCATCTCCTGACATCAAGACACTGGAAGATCACAGGAGGACATCGCCGCGTAAAACGGTTGAAATGGGAAAAGCCATAAAGCAACAAGAGTGAAAAACAGCCCCTTTTCACCGAGATGTACCCGACAGCTCAAGGTCCTACTCCCTACCTGCGTGGGTCCACCGTTACACAGTCGCACGCTTCGCCGGGCTCGACGGTGCCGTGCTGTGCAGAGAAGAGGCACAAGAAACGACACAAGGTTGCGACGTAAAAGCTCAACTTCAAAAAAAAATTTTTTTGTGTGTATTTAGAACAAAATTATTTTAATTAAACTTTCAAGAACAAAAGGCAATAAACTCTTCTGTAAAAGTCACCATGTTCCGCAATTTTCTTTCGACCACCTCAAGGCAGAATTGACGGCTCTTTAAACGGCAGCACGAAATTTTGCACAAATTACGTTGTTTTTTCTGCAAGATATTTAGTTTTACGGCCCGAAACTTTTTTGTGCAGTATATTCACAAAGTTTCCAATAAGAATTTTTAATCACCTGCAGCAACGAGATAGTTTGTAATCAAACTATCAAAAAGGCTAAAATTCTCATATATTACTTTTTTTTTTAATTGCTTCAAGCGAATATCTATGATCCTTATTACACAACAATCAAAATACCATGTGGTTTTTAGGAAAAAAATAGTCCACTGTTTTATAAAGATATCTTCGTTTTCATCAATTAATAAATGACTCATAGTTTCACTCCTTTGTTACGAGTTCAAACCGCCATCAGCCTATGAAATTTGTTTCTCGTCAAAAATATTTTAGAGAAGCACCACAAACATTATGAGGAAGAACCATTGATTTTATTTTAGGAATCGAAGGTCGCCGTGGGACCTTTGGCATGACATGAAGAAGTCCACGTCAGCTGATGCCGCCCGTCGATTAGGCATCGCGTTTAGGAGTATGAGGAGCCGCCCTCGGGTACAATGGGCACAACGGGCCTGCTATGGCGACGCGTTGGCGGCACCCCCGATTAGTACACGATACCCGCCGTTTCTTCCCTTACAGCCAGAAAAGAGGGACGAGGGGAAGCGGGCAGCAAACTCCGTTGTTTCTTTGGACCTAATCGCTTCGGCTATCGTCGCAGGTGGCGTGCTGTGCGGCGAGGAGGCGTTAAGAAGCGACGCCGGGTAGTGGTGCGAGAGTTCAACTTAAAAAATTGTTTTCTCGCTTTAAACAAAAATTACTCTGATTAAACTTTCAGAATCAAAAGACGATAAATTGTTCTTCCAAAGCCACCATATTTTGTATTTTTACTTGGACCACCTCAGGGTGGAATAAACGGCTGTTTATGCGTCAAAACGCGCTTTTTGGCAAATTCAGGATTTTTGTTTTACTGCAAGATGTTCAATTGAGCGGTTTAAAATATTTTTATAGGTTATACACCTAGAGGGCAACCAGTAAAAAGTTATATTAGGTCCCGGGAGCAATTATATATTTTTTAATAAAATGACAAAAATGATTATTTGAATAAAATTATGTATTAAAAAAAATATTTAAATTAAACAAAACTGCACAAACTCAACCACATTATAAGCCGACAACCGTGCAAATTTAAGAAAAAAAATATTGCTGGGTGTTTCATAAAAAAGCAGATTTTTCGTAAATTATTGAATGATGCCTAGTTTCACGCTGTTTTCAAAAATTAAAGGCAGTGGCTCCTCGGACGGCCGTCGCTGGAGCCACATCCACACAGACAAGGCTCCTTTGACACCGGAAGTGACGTATAAAACCACGTGACTTTTAAAACTAATATAAAATTGCTTTAATATTATATATTCAACAATATCATAAACTTATATAGCCCACAAAAATATTTACAATGTATTTTTATGCATTTTTAAAATTAGAAGGTCACGTGGTATAAATAAAATAAAGCTATTGAGCTATTATTTTATGTAAAAAAGGGGTGCTATAAAGTTTGTTGCATTGTAGACATACTGTAAATTAGTTTGTCTCATTATATCAATATCCTATGACGTCGCTTGGCAGAAGCTGGGCGCGCCGCCCGGCGCC